TAAATTTGTATTCTTACTATTTAATTTTTTCATAATTTTCCTGATTTAAAAAAAAAATTTCATATTTTTAACTTGTGAAATACAACTAACAAATCAGATTAATTCTGGTGTAGTTTACTATATATATATATATATCTGTTAACTTCAAAGATACAACTTTTTTCTAATAATTCGAACTGATCTGTTAAATTTTTAAAGTTACATTAACAACCAAAAAAGTACTATTACCCTAATAAAAAATATTTACAATTAATTTTTTTTTATTTCTATATCTAATGTATAATGATGAATTTTTGTTATTATTTTTTGCTTCTTTTATATTTATAAATATAGAATAATTATTATTTTATTATGTTCAAATAAAATTATAGTTTATTCACTAATTCATCATCAAATATATCATATAAAATATATATATATATTTATACAAACAAAAAGGAAAAATAAACCATAAAATACTTGTTTCATCAAAGTCTTATGTATTAATTATATAACAGTGAAATTATAAGTATAAATCATACTGTTACTAATTATCATGGAAATTATTTAACATTTTCCAACTGGATACTCAATGAATGCAATTTTATAAAAAACTTTCATGTTTTTAAAGTTTTTTTTTTTTTTTTTTTTTTACTATATAATTTAATACAAATAAATACATGACAAAAATATGAATCCATTGTCTACTTCTTTTATTATTTTTAAAATATAATTAATTTTTATTTCTAAATATGTTTCATGTCTTTAAGCTTATTTTTTTTGGAAAATTTTTATAGAATACCTACATTTCCAATGATTCTTAATGTATTGATTTACTTATTTATTCTAAATACTTTTCATATTTGATATATGTAATTATTTTTTTTTTTTCCAAAGTATAACCATTAACCATTTTTTTTTATTTTTTGAATGAAAAAAATTGGAGTTCTTTTCACATTTAACGTAAACTTTTGTTTTATTTCCTTCAAAGATAAATCCATAATGCTACATTTTTTAGAATACCATTCTATACAACACTTATTATATGTACTTTTTATAGTAAAAAATTTTACAATAATATTTTCAAATTATAAATAAAATGCTATTATAATCAATAATAAAAATAATCTCATTGTAATCAAGTAGTTCTAATATATTAACAGAGGAAATAAAAAAAAAAAAAAAAAAAAGACATAATGCAAAGAGATATACCAAAAACATGAAAACAATGATTTTTAAATTAAGTCAATAGAAAAAAGAAAGACTATCAAAATAAATATTCCTTAATTTAATAAAAAATAGGTCTTAAGAATAACTCTAAAAAAAAAAAAAAAAAAAAAAAAAAAACGATACTGTGGAAAACATATTTATATGTATTTCATTAATTCTTTTTGATTTTATCCTAAAATAGATGTCTCTAAGATGTCTAAATTAATAATTTAAATGTCTCTTAGATGTCTAAATTAATAATTTAAATGTCTCTTAGATGTCTAAATTAATAATTTAAATGTCTCTAAGATGTCTAAATTCATAATAGAAATGTCTCTAATATATTTAAATTAAAAATAATCCCTCATATATCATTAGATATTATGTCGTATGTCAATTAAATTAATTGCAATATTTTCAAAAATATATTTTTCTTCATAATTTAGTCTATATATTTATATATTGGTTTATTATATTACCTGTTTTTTACTCATAAATTAAATACGTAAACTTAATTATTTACGTTTTAACACACATTGTTAACATAAAATTAACACTTTATATAAAACGTAAACAAAATACTTCTAATAAAAAAAAAAGTCCATATAATTATTTTTATTCTTCATTGTATATCTGTATAACTCATAATAATTTGTATCACAAAAAAAAAAAAAATCCCTTTTTTTTTTTTTTTTTTTTTTTTTTTTTTTTTTTTTTTTNNNNAACGTAAACAAAATACTTCTAATAAAAAAAAAAGTCCATATAATTATTTTTATTCTTCATTGTATATCTGTATAACTCATAATAATTTGTATCACAAAAAAAAAAAAAATCCCTTTTTTTTTTTTTTTTTTTTTTTTTTTTTTGCTTGTAACCATTAAGTTTAGCTCTATAGCTTATTTATACTCTTAAACATTTCGTGTACGTCGTTGATATCATTAATTTTACTTCATAAAGTTACTTATGCACATAAAAAGGTTGATAACCAATTTTTTTAATCATATATAAATTGTCTTTAAAAAAATTAAATTAAAAAAAAGACTAAAAATAATTATTAATATTTTTACAGAATAATTTTTTACATAAAAAAAATGCGTTTTTTTTTTTTTAAACGACAAACAATAATATTACACAAAAATTACCACGACATCATATATAACAATAAAAAAAATTAAAAAAAAAATTTTATTGATGCAGAAAATTTTTTATTTGGGTAATAAAACAACCAAATATGGAAGCTTCAACCATAGATTATTTAAATGATACTCAAAAAATTAAGGAACATGTTAAAACTTTCATAGATCAAATTTTACGTTCAGAAAAACTTCAATCAGAGAATTCCACCAGATTATTACATTTATATACTTCTCAATCAGCATGTGAAGATATTTTAAAAAATGTTATTTATATGTGTTCGGCTACCTTATTTTTAGCTTTTATGATGATGCTTTTTGGGATTGTAAGAAATGTATGGAAGGATTCGAAATTTTAAATATAAACTTTTCTCTATTACTTATAATTATTTATTTAAATTAGAATTATATCTACATAAAAAAAAAAAAAAAATTTAGAAAACAATTTTTTTTAATTATACTATAGAAACAAAGATATAGAGAAAGAAGATTTAGGTGTTGTGGTTGTAAAGAAGACACGTACGATGAAGAAAATGAAGAAGAAGCATATGAAGAAGAAGAGATGGAAGAACCATAATGATAATGTAAATAGAATAAATTATTTATATAAGTCATTTATGAAATTTTATCTTAAAAATGTTCATTTCCTATATTTTTTGATATAATATATTTTATTAATATTTATGAAATATTATTTGTGCAGCAATTCTTTGATATATATGTTTAATTAGGGTTACTAATTCAGGTAGTATTCTTTTTTTTTTTTCATCTAAGTATTGTTATTTTTTGTTTAACTACTTTCATATTGTGCAGGATTCATTTTCTACCTCCTACATTTGCTTTTGTTTTATTTTATTTTTTTTTTTTTTTTGACATAAATGAACTTTAAATTAAAGATAAATTTGCTTGAGGAAATATAATTTTCCTTGATTTAAAAATACCTTTACATATAACCAATAGATATTCTTATATATGTATTATTTTCTTTACTTTTAAAGATTTTATATGCAAAAATTTTTCATTCAATTTAAAAAGATAAATATTAATCTTTAGTTAGGCTAAATACATCTCATCATAGCCTATAAAATATAAAAAAGATTTTGAAATATTTTTATCATAAATGATTTCTTCATAATCTTATGAATTTCTTATTATTTCATACTTCCTATTTAAGCAAATAAAAAATATATTAAGATGACTTTTTATGTTTTTCTTTGATACGTTAACCAAAATTTTCATATACATATTTGAAGTATTCTTAAAACTTCACTAATAGATTTATTAAGTCTTCTCAAGAGATTTTAATCTTACTCATTTTAATATTTTTGTTTGATAAAATTCTATTTTGTTATTAATTTTCATTGTATAGTATCAGTTAACCGATAAATTCAATTATTTTTAAAAAATACTCTAAATTTCTTCTTAATAGTTTCAAATTAGAATAGAGAAAAAAACAATTCTAAAAATACCCAACTATATATTATAATATATTAAATACATTCATAAAGTTTTCATAAATTGAAATAGTGTCTTTAGTATATATTACAAAGTGATTTATTTCCATGCATATGTTTTGTATTTTGTACTTAAAATCTAATTGATGTTATGTTTAAATTGCAGCATATATAAAGAGCTTATTTTTAATTACTTGAATGTTTAATTCTATTAAAAAATTTAATTAATTTTAATATTTATTTAGTTATCCAAATAAATTTTTTCTATTTTTTCTTTGCTAAATATTACTTACCAATCTTTCTAATAATTTAAAAAAAAATTGTTACAAATATACTTAACAATATTGTGTAATTCTCGTAATACTATATTTATATTATATAAATTCTAATTTTAATTATGGAAAAATTCCCTTTAAAAACATAAAAATAAAATTTAAAATTCTTTAATATTTAATGATTCTTTAAAGAATATAAACTAAAAATAAAAAAAAATTTTAAATATTCATTTTCCCTTCGCTTATTTAATGGTATTCCTATACTTAATTATTTATATTAAAATTCTAAATTTTAAATAAAACCAAAAAAAAATATATATATATTAAAATAAAACTAGTGTAGTAAAATGAAAGAATACACATTGTTACACTAAAAAAAAAAAAAAACTAAATAAATAATTATAAAATATTCTTATTTATTATATTCCTTTTTAAAAAATTATATAAAAAATAACAAAATAAACATGATAATTACTAATTTCATAAAATTGTTTTTTTATTTTTATTTAAGTAAAATTTTTTAATTTTTAATTTGTTTTATTAAGATCTATGCTTTTTATATTATAAATTACTAATATTATTAATAAATATATTATCACTTAATATAATTATTAAATTACTATTTTTGTATAGTTATATATATATAATTTAGGTTTTGACTTAAAGATAAAAAAAAAAAAATCCAATTAGAATAATCAAAATGACGATAAAAATATTAAAATATAGGACTAACCATGTATAAAAATTAAAAATAGAACACAATGAAAATATATTAACTTCGTAATATTCCACATAGTAAAAAAAATGTATTTTATTAATTGTAATAACAGCAATATTATAATTAAAAATAATTCTTTTATAATACTATTAGACTTAATAAAAAAAATAAAATTATCATTCAGAGTTATAGCATCAAAAACGGTTTTATTTATGAAAAAAAAAAAAAAAAACTAAAATGTTATTTGTTTAATATTATTAATAAATATTTCCTTATGATAAATCGCTATAACTCTTAAAATTTCATTAATACTATCATCATTAACTTTAACATGAAACGGGACTGATAAATATAAGTGGTATAAATTTGTTTTAATACAGTAAAATTTTTCATATTCACATTCTATATATATTTGTGCAGGTAATTTTGAATCTTTTAATATGTCATCACATTTCTGGTATACTCGAAAAATTCTTTTTATTTTATCATGACTAATTTTAGAACTATAATATTGTTTTAAATATGGAATATAATAACATAAATGAATAATATCTATACCATGAATTTCTGGTAAAGTAAATGGAGAATTATCTGAAGCTTTCACAATTTCATCATAACATCCCGTACTCATTAGCATCTTAAAAAAAAAAAAAATAAATTTAAACAAATAAATTTATACCATAAAAACTTGTAAATTTCTGAAAAATATATATATATATATTACTATTTTATCATTATGCATATATATATATATATATTATTTTTTTTATTTAATTTTTTTTTATCTTACTGATTCTATCGTGGAAGTATGTCTAGAAAGGTAAAAAAAATCTCGAGGTGATGCATAAGAACATACATAAACACAACATATCTTTTTTCTTATATAATTAATATAAGCATATAAAAATAAGCTGCAAAAAAAAGAATAAAAAAAAAAAAAAAAAGGAAAAAAAAAAAAATATAATTAAAAAAATATAAGAAAAATATTCTTAAATAATTACAAAATAACTTTTTGTTATTTTTGAACAAGTTAATGATACATATATAAGAAACATATGAAAACATTTCAATGAAGTTTTTTTTAAGAATAATTTTAATACTTTGGATTGTAAATAGGTAAACAAATGGGAGTCCACGATTCTGCATTTTTGAATGATTTCATTGATGTTATCATATTTATAAGAATTATTATATCCATTGAATAAATGGTATACTTAGATATTGATAAGCATATAATTTTATCATTTATAATTAAAAAAGATAACAAAACATTATTAATTTTGAAGTTTGAAATCCAATTATGTACTTGATTACGATATTCCTGTTTTAAAGGCAAAGGTTCAAATCCGTCAAAAATAGAATACATATTTTTAGAACATGATGATATTAAATTACTTATAAGTAAATCAGCACCATCCAACAAATATCTAATGTCAAAAGATGGTTTTATTTGAAAAGATTTATCAATGCTCTTTGTTAATAATGATATAATTTGAAAATAAATATAATTTAAAATATTCAAAATATAATTATTACTTTCATTAACTTTAGAAATGCATACTAAATATAAAACACCTTTATCTAAATAAACTACTTTAGTATTTTTACTGATAATATATTTTAATGTGTTTTTTGTATTTTGTTCATTTATTTTTTTATTTATTTTAATATCCCTGTTTTCATGAGAGAAACAAAAAGATTCAATTTTAGATATAATAGCTAGTAATGTACCATAAAAACTTGTTAAATTTTCTTCATTTCCATATCTTGTAAAAACTGGCTTTCCCGAATAAGTAAAAATAAAAAAATGTCTTTTATGTTTATACCACAATGGATTAGTTTGGTCTTCATTAACCCTTTTTTTCTTTAATAAACTTTTAGAATTATTTATATTATCTTGAGAATCATTATTTTCAAGGTAATTCATAATATTAATTTTCTTAGATTTTTCATTTTTTATATCATTATTTTGCTCTTCCATATTTTTTTCATTAAATAAATTTGATTTTTCAATAGTTATCTTTTCATTATTAAAATTTGTATCTGCTTCACTTTTAGAATTATTTAAATATTTCATCAATAATTTGTCATTTGGTAATGTCTCTTTTTCAGCATAACTCAAATTTTCTTTTTCTTCTTCTTCTTCTTTTTCTTCCTCGTCCTCTTTATCTTCCTCTTCCTTTTTTTCTTCCCCATCCTCTTTCTCTTTTTCTTCCTCTTCCTCTTCTATTTTTTTTTCTTTCTTCAAATCATTAGTTATAATTAAGTCATTTTTTTCATCATAAAAATTTTCATTTTCCATTTCTGATATGAAATTATTTGTCACATCATCATTCTTTTTATTTCCAATATGTGAAAAATTATCTTCAAGTTTTATACTTAATTCATTTATACCTTTATTTGTATTTAATATATTCTTTTTACTCCCTAGTGGGTAAAAATGTTCGTAACATTCATTGTTTATTGTATTTCTAAGAAAAGAATTTTCTGAGTCTTCATTTTTATATCCATCAGATTTTGTAATTTCATTTACTTCATTATTTAATGATGATTTATAATCTTTATCCTTGTAAAATTTGTCATATTTATTTTCACTACTAGACGAATAATCATCATCCCTTATAAAATCATCACCTTTTTCTAATTTGTCTTTGTAGGTTTCATTTTTTTTTTCTACTATTTCATTTGATTTTTCTCTAAAAAAATTTTCAAGATCATCATCTATATTTGAATTGTATGACTCATTATCTAGTGAAAAGTTGTAAATATTCTTATCCAAATTTCCAAAATTTTCATTAACATTAAAAATGTTTTCTGATTTTTCCTTTGTTTCATCTATGCCCTTAACATCATAAAATTCCACTTCATCATTTATAAAAGAATGTATATTTTCACTATTATAATGTATACTATCATCATTTATTACACCAACCTCTGATTTTGGTTCTTCACTTAAGCCTAAATTATCAATATTAACTATATTACTGTTTTCATATTTTTCATTTTCCTTTTTATTACATTTAATTTCCATTTTTTTTTTTTTTTTTTTAATTATATTTAAAAAAAAAAAAAATCAAAAAAAAAAAAAAAAAAAAAAAAAAAAAAAAAAAATTTTTTTTTTTATAAATTATAATAAATCTTTTTTTTTTTTTTTTTTTTTTTTTTTTTTTTCTTATACAATAAAAGAACCGGTAATTTAAATAATATTTATATACATTACCATTTTTACATTAATTTTCATTCTTTTCAATATAAAGTAAAACAGAGTAATATTTTTTGTGTATATTTTTAATTGTAATATTGTTTCGTATTCTTTTTTTTTTTTTTTTTTATAGAAGATTTTTTTTTTTTATTCATATTTAAGTTTTTATTTTTATTATTAAAATGTTTTTAGTATTTTAAAGATTTAAAAAAAAATATATATTTTAATAAAAATTGATGAAAAATACAAAAAGACCAAAGAAATTTTTTTTAATTTTGAACGGCAAAAATAATGGAAAAAGAAGGAAATTAATTAAAACAAAGAATAAAAAAATATAAATTTGTGGAAAGCAATAAGATTAGAGAAAAATTATATTTTTAATCCTAGTTCAATAAAAAAAAAAAAATAAAATAAAATAAAATAAAATAATAAAGATTTTAAAAAAGTAAATATATATATTAAATCGTAAGTATTTTAATTATATCAAAAGTAAAATGCTCTAGAAATATAATTTTTCTAAAATAAAAAAAAAAAAATTTTCCTTTTTCTGCAACTATATCAGAATTAATTTTATTCCATAATAAAAATCAATTTCTTATTGTATACTTTGACTTTATAAATTTATATTAGTTTTTATCTTGTAAATAAGCTTTTGATAAAGAATACAAAATGGTATAAAAGTGATTTACATCTTTTATAATAACAGGCAAGTTATTTTTCCTCTCTGTTGTATTAAAATGCTCATTCATTTGTAATGATAACTCTAATTTATTCTTTTTAAAAAAATACAATGGTTTTTTAAATTCATAATTCTTCTTGTACAAATTATAATTACCAACTACATATAAACCAAACCTTGCTCTTGAAAATGCAACAATCAACCTTTTAATGTTTTTCAAATAACCAATACTTTTTGATCTAACTAAAGATATTATTATATAATCGTTTTGTTTTCCTTGATATTTATCAACTGTTGTAACTTTTTTAGGCATTCCTATTAATTTATTATATAAACATTTTTTTTTTAGAATATCTAATATTAATTCCTTTTGACCGTTATAAGTTGTTAGGATGGTTATTACATCACTAGAATATCCTATTAATCTCATATACATAAAAATAGCAACAGCCATTTCAGCTTCTAATAAATTTTGATAAAAATATGGTATCGGTGTATATTCTTGTGATTCAACATGTATAAATTGATAAGTGTATGTAAAACCTGGATTAAAACTTTTTAAAAATTTTTCTTTATATACACACTCTAAATTTTCTATTTGTATATTATATTTACTATAGAAGAATTTATAAATATTACACAATTCATTCCGCATTCTCCCTTGTTCATTTAAGTAAATGGAAGGTATTTCTAATCTTAAAAACCTTTTATATAAAGATTGCTCATAATTAGAAAAATTTTTTATATATTTATTTTTTATAATGGGAGGTAGTTGGTTTGAATCTCCAACAAAAATGATTCTTTTTAATTTACTTTTATGATATCTATTTTCTTGAAGTAATAATGGTAAAAATGTATCGTTCTCAGTAATTTGTGTACATTCATCTATAATAATATTATCGAAATAAAACTGCAATTTTGCTATTTTACTTCTATTTATGCTTGCATGTGTGCATGTTAATGCAATAACCCTTGCCAACTTCGCTATTATATATACTCCTCTTTCTCTTTGATTTTTTAAAACTTCGAATGCTCTACAATCTTTTAAATGCTCAAAGTATTTTATCAGTTTTCTTAAATAATATTTACATATATCAAAATCATCTGAATTGTTTTTAAATATTATATCATTTGCATCTTCATTAAAATTGTCATAATCATTTTCATAAATTTCTTCATCTTTTTCTGCTTTTGATTCTTTGAAATTTGTTAGAATATCTTTTTTTGTATTCTTCTCAACCAGAACATTTTCACTCACTTTTCTTTTATTTTCATCTTCGTTTTTGAGATTCTCTTTAATAATGATGTTCCTTTTAATTTCTTTTTCTTTGTTATTTTCCTTTTCATTTTCATTTAAATTTTTTTCTGTATGCTCTACTAAATTTTCAGAATACTTTGAATCGACATTTTTATCAGAAAAACTGTTTTTATAATCTAAATATTGTGAAATATTTATTTTTTCTAACTTCAAATTCATATATTTTTTAAAAGGAAATAAAATATTATATATACTCAAATTTAATACTTTCAATTGATCTTCAGGATGTATTAAATAAAAATATGATTTATCTTCATCTAACAATTTTAATTTTTGTATTTTCTTATCATTGTGCTCTGTAGGATTGTTTTCCAAAATAATATCATTAATATTTGAAAATTCCTTTAAATATATTTTTGGGCATAAAAATAAGTTGTATAAATCATAATCATCAATAGATGATGACATATATAATGTAAAAAAATTATTAATATTCTCACTTTTTTTAAAAATATCAATATATTTAAAAAATGTTGTAATGCGTTTTTTTATGTTACTTTCATAATATTGGTTAGCATATAAACAATTGTATATTTTTTGGTTATTAATTGATTCTGATAGTAAATTTACTTCATTTAATAATTTTTTTCTTAAGTCAATCATATAATTTATTCTCCCGTATTTTGAAAAATTAAAATTTTCATCTTCATCATTAATAGTATTATTTTCTTCATTCATATTAAAATAGTCTTCACTGTTATTCTGACTTAAATTCTTCTCTATTTCCTCAAACTGAATTTTTAAGTTTTCAATGTCTAATTCTCCCATTCCTACACGACATAAATATTTTTGATGAATAAAGTTTTCTTTGACAAGCAGATTAAAAATGTAATTTAAACAACTATTGCTGTGTGTACAAATAAGAATTTTTTCTTTTTTTTTATTATTAAATAATATATTGATAATTTTATTTAAAATACTCGTTTTCCCACTACCAGGAACACCCTCAATAATAGTAAAACCTTCATACAAACCACTTTTTATGCACTCTACTTGTCTTTCTGTGTATTGTATTTTTTTTTTTTGTATTTGTTTTTTTTCATAAATTTTATTGAAAAAATCAATATTAGTGCTATTTTTTTCTTTTGTATGAACTAATAGCCCTTCTAATGGATAATTTGGATCATCATATATTTTATTTTGTATTCTATATATACCATTTTTTGTTCTTAAATGATTAATACAATCTTCTATATTTTTCTCAAAAATATTTTTTATATTATTATAGTCACTAATTACGGTAACTTCTTGGGAATTCGGCTGTTCTACATAATTAACCATATTGTCACCTAATTCATTTTCATTTTTTTCATTTTTATTAGTTAATATATTTTTATGAATATTGCTATTTTCTGAACTTTTTTTTTCTCCATTTCTTTGATATTCTTTTTTATTCAAATAATTATTTAGAATTAAAAAGTATTTTTTATATTTATATTCAAAATGAAAAATAAAAAAATTTTCATATTGATAAACAACCTTGATATTTGATAATAAATTTGAAATGAAATCCATGTTATTAATTTTGTACTTGTTAATTATGCATATATGATAAAATAAACTTTCAAGTATATTGTTTTGTAACTCACTTTTTTCAAGACATTTTTTTTCATCTTGATATTTTATAGGAATATAACTTAAGAATAAAGGTTCTATATATTCATTTAATAAGTTCTTTACATCAATTTTACTATCATTTATCACATTGATGTATGAGGCATCTAAACATATATATGCGACATTAGTAGTTTTAAGTATGTGTTTAATGTTTAAAAAAGTATTTAAATAATTAATGTCCTCAATATTATTTTTTATGAAATTTAAATTAGATTTATTATATGTAATTTTTTTCTCTAATATTTTCATCGAATTTGATTTATCAGAAATTCGTTTATTTAAATCTCTTTTATCTAAGCTTTCTTCATCTAAATTTTCTTCACTTGAATTTCTTTCATCTAAGCTTTCACTATATGAACTTTCTTCATCTGAATTGTATTCATTTGAATTATTTTCATCTAAATTTTCACTATGCAAACTTTCTTCATCTGAATTTCTTTCATTATATATATTTTTATGAGGCAATGTCTTTTGGTAATATTTTAATGAATTATCACAGTAACCCAAAAAAATATCATGCACCCACTGTGGTATAATTGCATCATCAGGATTCATAATTAATGTTTTAATATTATTCAAAATATAAAAAAAATTGTTTTCCTTCTGCTTTCTTCTTATTAGTAAATTAAATGAGCTATATATTTCAGGGTCATTTAAAATATCTTTTTGGTACTGTAAATAATCCAAATAAACTGTAATTTTCTTCAAGTTACTATTTTCATCATTCATTTCTTCATTATTTTCTACAAAATTTGAATATTTTAATACTTCGCAACCCCTTACATAATTAATTCCTAGTAATTTTTTTAAGTCACTATCATTAACAAGATTTAATTTATTTCTATAATGGTTGGTATAATTTTTTACACAAACTAAAAACAATATATCAGAGGGTCTAATCATATTCCATTCATGATGAACTTTTTCATAATGTTTATATTTTAGATCTATAACTATTTCTGCCACAATCTTTTTACTACTATTATTAACATTTACAATTTTAAATGAGTCAATTTTATTGCTCATTCTTCTCTCATTTGCAAAATATGTATTTTCTATTTTGTTAATATCATTTATTATTGAATTTAATTGATATTCATTATATGCAATATTACTATTTGAATAATTATCATAGCTATTCATCTCTTCTTCTTCTAAATATGTTTCTTGTTTTCTTTTTTTTCTTAAAGAATTTCCATTATTTACATATTTCATATTTATTGTACTTTCAAATTTCTTTTTGCTATTTATTTCTTTGTTATCACTATTTTCATCAATTTCAAAAACATAGTTGCATATAGTATTTTCGTTTACCTTTTTATTTTTTGGATTGGTTTCATATACATATTCAATTATATTTTTTCTTATATCATAATAACTTTGCAATTTGAATAAATTGTATATTCTATATATGTAGTCATTAATACATAAATACTGTAAATTTAATTTAAACAAAGGTTTTGTATATATGAAAATTTTTTTTTTTTTTAAATCATCTTTGGTATCAATTAATATATTTTCAAACAAATCTTTTTCATTTGGATATTCACACTGCTCATTAATGTCTTCGAATATATTATTTTTATAACTTAAATTTTCAACTAATAAAACTATGTAAAATAGTTTTTTTTTTTTATGAAATATATTTAAATTATTAAACAAACTGTGACTAATATATTTTTTATTATGTGATCCTTCATGTATTTTTTGTTCCTTCTCAAACTTCTTTTCGGAAGAAATCATATATTTTAAATTTTCACACAAAAATAATAATTCTTTTTTTTCTAATTTTGAAAAATTCTCAAGCATTTCACTTTTTTTGTCCATTATAAAAACTGATTTTAAGTAATAATTTTTTAATATTTTATGATCCTTAAAATATTTATAGCAAAATGTTTGAAAATATTCAAAATTTTTATAATGATCATTATTTACATCTAAATAACTTAATGAATTCCCTGAAAAATTATCTATATACATTTCGATGAAATACATTAGTAATTTTATTAATTCTTTGAATTTTCTTTTTTTATTTAAACTAGAAATTTTACAATAAATATGTACATTAAAATATTTTATAAATATATATAATATCCTTCTTGAATAAAGTTGACTTAACAAATCAATAAAAAATTCTACACATTTTTCAATAAATAAAATAATAAACTTAATATTTTTGTTGCAATATTTTCCTTTTTTTCGTTTTAAAACCAGCTTAGGATTTTTATGCATTAATTTATTTTCATATAGTGAAAAAATATTTAAAATTTCTTCTTTTTTATATTCATTATGACCTATATATTTATTTTGCATTTCTTCTTCATTAAAAGAATATTTTAAATAATCATCAAAACAAATCTCATCGTAATTATCATTGTTATTAATATAATTCATATTATTTTGTTCACATTCAATATCATTATCATTTTTCTCAAAAATTCCATCTTCATAAAAAAATTCACCTTTATTCATGTTTTCATATTCATTAATATTATTTTCATCATTAATATTGTCATCATTTAGATGTGTAATTTCTTCTGTATTATTTTTATTGTCTATATGTTTATTTTCATCAAAAGAAACATAATTATCTTCAAATTTTTCGTTATCAAATTTCAGTTTTTCTAAGAATGAACTTACTTTATCATTAAAAATATCAATATCACTATTGAAGTTATCCATATTAACGTTTTCAAATTCATCTTCACTAAATGAAGAAAGAGAAGAGCTATCTATTTCATCATATTCCTCATATTTTCCCTCTAAATTATCTAAAACTAATAAAAAATAATTTATTAGGTTATAAAAAAAATCATTTTTATTTATAAATAAAATTATATTTTCATGAAACTCTATTTTTCTAATACATTTCTTATTTTTTTTGCATTCTGAATTTTCATTTAATTCAACTTTTGAATTATCATTACATATGGTGGTATTACAAGTGTAAATTTTTAAGGAATTAAAACTTTCGTAATTTAAATATTTTTTTTCAATATTTTTTAAAATGTTTGTGAAAAGTGTTTTAGATTCTTTATTTTTTTTAAAAAGAAAATTATTTAAATAACTGTAATTAACATGATTCCATATTAAAGGATTACACAAATCTAAACACAATTTGAATAGAAATTTTTTATCTATGCTTGAATATACATTTATAAAAAATTGAACAACAAAAGATTTCTCTAAGAAATTTAATTTAAATAATCTTTTTCTATGATTTATTAGCTTTTTATACAAATTTACATCTTTTATATTATAGCTATTTATAAATTCATTTAAAATAAAATTATAATTAATTAATTTAAGCGTGTTAAAAAATAAACTATTAAATTTTTCTATGAGAAATTCTTTATACAAATTGTTTCTCTCATTTATTTCGCTATTTTCTTCTTCTGAATAATTGTTGTTTTCAATTTCTACTAACTTTTCAAATTCATCTATCTTGTTGTATATTATTTGATCCCATATTTCATATTTTCCCTTTTCTTCATATTTGTAACAAATAAAAACAATTAACGACAATATATGTTTTATATATACACTTATCTTTTTATTTGATTCATCATAACAAAAAAAAACACTATTATTATCTAAAATATAAAAATCATCATACATATTATAATATGGCCACAATATTTTTTCAAAATATTGTGAATTTTCTAATTTTTTTAAATATTTTGAGTTAAAATTTTTTTTTTTTAAAAAATCGTAAGTTCTTCCAATGAAATTTAATATTTTTGAAGTTGGTGTTTTTTCTTTATTTTCTATATTATCAATTTTTTCTTTTTTTTCACAAAAGAGTCTAAAATCTATATGTTCAATTAAAAATCTAAAACTACGAGAATTTTTTCTATGTTCTTTTATCATATCATTTTTATTTTTATTGTTCTCTATATAATTTTCATGAATGTCACTTGCATTTCTATTTTCATTATCTACAATGTTAGAATTTGCCTTTTCGTTTTCTCCTAAATTATTTTTTAAAGTTTTTCCTTTTGGTTTTAATATTTTTGAACTATTATTCATTTTAAAAAAATTTGTTCATTTTTTTTAATATTTATTTTAAAATTACTTTATTTTCCTTAGTAAAATTTGCTTTAGAAAGATATTTTGTAAATTTATAATTTCCAAGTTTTTTATTAATCTAAAAAGTTAAAGTAAATTTTTTCTTAAAATTTATTTCAAAATTTTAAATTTTATTTTCTTTTTAATAGAAGCTTTCTTATTTTATTTTATTTTTATTTATTTTTTTTTTTATGAATTTATTGCTTCAAAATAGATAATGAAACATTTCAATTTTTCAACAGTCATACATTTTTAAGAAAAATTTATGAAAATTAAAATTTAATTCTTTTAAATTTTCTAATTTTATTAAAAATTATAAATGCTATATATATTTTAAAAAATTTTATAAAAATAAAAAAAAATTTTCTTTAAAATTTTATAATATGAATGTTCCTTACAAGATAAGAATAAAATAATTTTTGATGATAATCTTTAAGTGAAAGAATAGTAAAAAAAAAAAAAAAAAAATTTATCCCTTACTTTTAAAAATATATATATCTTTTTATAAAATAAAATTATTAATATAATACAATTAATTTTTTCTATATTTGTATTTCGTTAAACTCAAAGAAACAAAACTAAAAAAACATAAAATAAATAATAAAAGAATAAAAAAAATTCATGGTTGTTCAATCATTTTAGTTTCATAATTTTTGCAGTTTTGAGAAAAAAAGTAAAATTGTAAAATTTTTATTTTTAAATATTTTATAAGCAAATAATATTAGTTAAAAAGGAATATTTTAAAAATATTCCTATTATTTTTTGAATATTCCTTATTTTTATAGGCTTTATAAAATAAATTCTCTTTTTAAGTATAGCATATTTTTAAAAATAAAACTAAATAAATTCTAGGAATTATTTTATTAGTTCTTTTTAATCTAATTGTATTATATTTTAAAATAGACATATTTTAATTATTAAAGAAATACATATAATTTTTGTAAAATTATTTCTCATTCTTCTCTATTATTGAAGATTTTTAAATTAAGTACTTTTTTTTATGTAGATATAAATTTATCTTTTTATTATTTTTTAAGTATTTTCATGATGTTCTTATGCAGTTTAACAAAAGTAACAAAAAAATGAAAAAAAATTTAAAGTAAAATAATTATATTTCATAATTATTTATTAATTTTAATCAAGAAAATAGCAAATCTTTTCATGAAATATAATTATTTTATTTTGTAAGAGATGTATATGCTTATACATATTATTAATTTAAAGAATGTTGTAGTTCATTAAAATATGAGTGTATGTAAGTTTTATTAAAGTGTACTTTTTTTTTTCTTTTTTTTTTTTTTTTTTTTTTTAAATTAAATAAAAAAATTATAACTTAAAAATAATTTATTTATTTACTTCTTTAAGTCTAAATAAAAAAAAAAAATATATTTAATAATGTAGACATTAAAAAATAAAAACCAAAATAATTTCATTACTAATATCTCATAATGACAAAATGAGAATTAAAAATGTTGTTAATAATAGTAATAATATTTTTAATTTTTTTTGTACTGAGTCAGAAACAAATATATTAAAAGACTTTGTTCATATTATTACTTTAAGAGAAAATAAAAAAAAAAAAATATGTTATAGTTATAGTATTGTTGATGGTTATAAATACAGAATTGTTATTAAAAAAAAAAAAGATTATTTAAACAATTTAAAACTTCTTATTTTACCATTGGACCACCCAAATATAATTAAATTAATTCACTACTGTGAATTAGCTTCTTCATTTATTTGTGTATTTGAGTTTTTCACAGGTTTTTTTTTTTTTTTTTTTTTTTTTTTTTTTTTTTTTTTTTTTTTTTTTTTCTTAATTTTACTTTAATTTTAAATATTTTCTATATGTTAATTATTTTATATTTTTATAGATACAAGTTTATATTCGTCTGTTGTTTTTTCTGCAAGATATGATGAAAGAAAAATAAAAAATATAATATATCAGGTTTAAAAAAATAAAACAATATAATATTCTTTTTTTGTTATAAAGTATATATAAATACTTTTATTTATTTATATATATATTTTTTAAGATTATTTTAATTGTCAACTATTTACACTCAAATAATTTAGCACTTAAGTAATGAAAAAAAAAAAAAAAAAAGAAATTTCTTATAATAATGTTGTTTTATATTTTTATTTATAATATAATTTAAAAGAAAACTAAGTCCTTATAGTTTTCTTGTAAAGTCTGTGAACAAAGAAGTAATGATTAAGTTGGAAGATATCTATAAAATAACAACTATTTCAACAAAAAGTTATCTCTTTATTTTAAAAAAAAAAAATAAACTAAAAAAATGTTATGACCAAATTAATAATTTTTTTCTTCCAAATTTTTTTTTTCCTTACTTTTAGCTAACTCAAAAATAAAAAGCAAAAATGTCTATAGTATTGGTGTAATAAGTAATAATATAAAAAAAAAAGAAAAAATATAACTTCTTAATAAAATTGAATTATTTTATATCCTCTTCTAAAATAAATCTTTAAGTTTTACTCTAATAATTTAACTAAAATATAATAATTTTCTCTTATTCAAAATTTTTTAATTTTCAGTGTATTTTTTAGTGTGTGGAGAATTCCCATTTTCATATTTAGAAAACAACCAAAAAAAAATTTTTTTTGATAAGAAATTGTTAACATAAAATTATAAAATATATAAATATATATATATATATATATATATTTTTATATTTTTCTAATTTATTTTTCTTTTATAGATGGAAAAATATTTCATATAAAGGTCGAAATTTTATTAAAAAAATTTTACTTAATGATTTAAGGTTACTTTTTTAAAAAAAAATATTTAATTAAAATTTTATAAATAATTTTCTTTAAAATAATATAAATTACTATATATAATTTATCATTTATATTTTACATAAAAGTTCAATGATTACTGTAAAAGAAGCATTAGATCATGTAACTCAAAAAATAGATAAATTTTTCATATTGTAAAATAAATGACCAAATTTTGTAAAAATAAAATACACTTTTTTTTAATTTTTTTTTTGTTTATTTTCTTAAGGAATGGTTTAAGGAAGATATTAAGCAAAATATATACATAAATTTTGACATATTAAAAAAGTTAATAAAAGAACTATTTTTTCTTTTTTTTAATAATAATTACTTTACAATAACTCTTTTTATTATTTTTCTTATTTTAAATTTATATTTTTAGTATTTACGACTTTTGGAAAAAAAATACATTTAAACGCTACATATTGAATAATATTGCTAAATTTCTAATAAAAGAAGATATATATAGTATAACAAAAAATAAAAATACCTATAAATATATATCTTTTTATTTTTTATGGCATATATAAATATTATATAATCATTTTTCTATTATATTTCCTTTTGTAGATTATAACTATATATTTTCCTATTTTGACATGACAAAAGAAGGCTCAATAAAATATGAGCAATATTTTATAATAATGAAAAAACTAGATCTTGCAGATGCAAATGTAATGTCTTTTTTTTTCTTTTTAAAAATTATTTAAAATTATTATTAATTATTATTAATTATTACAAGAATACTTTCAATTATATTTTATTCTATTAGATACAATTATCGTTCAATGGATTAGATATTTCAAAAGCTGGGTTAATACAATTTAGTAGTATATACATTTTCTGACTACCTAAAAATAATGTTTTCTTAGAAAATCTTTTAAAATTCTTTTTTTTTTTTTTTTTTTTTTTTTTTTTCTAGATAT